GCATCCTCTTTTTCTCTTGATTAGAAAATTCCCTGACTGCTCTCAGTTGCCTGTCAGATACCATGATAATATGGTATAACAGTTATACACATTACTTCAGTGTAGAAGAAGTTTGGAATATTGATAAATTTCATTGGATTATTGTTCAACCTAGATGAATGTTTAACCAAGAGTTTAAAATGTTGAAGTGATTGACATTCTAACTTCAGTAACTAGGTTGATGGTTATGCTTTTTGCCAGGGAAGAGCACATTTGGGTGGAAGACTAAGTTTTGAATGTGTTGCGTTCTTTAAACATTTGCCACTGCGATATCCGAGTAGAGTCCAGTAGGTGATTTGATGTCACAGGAGAGAAACCAAGAGAGAGGTCACAGCTAAAGCTTTGAGTAGCATGTAAATGAGATCTCTCGGGGAGAATACAGTGTGAAAGAGGGCCAAGGATGGAACCCTGGGTGATAGCAGCACATAAAGGCCTGGCAAAGGGAGAGCATCCAGCAGAGGAGATTGGGAAGGTCAGAGGGGCAGGAAGGCCTGAAGGAAATAGTTATTGCAGAAACCAAGGGAGGAGGACGATTCAAGGGGCTAGTGGTCAGCAATCAAAGGAACCCTACAAGTCTAAAGACTAAAATGTCCACAGGACCGGGCCATTAGGAAGTCAGCAGACACTTCCACTGGAGCAGTGTTTCCACAACAACAGTGGTATTAATGTCAGTGTAGATCGGAGGATCCAATATGTTGCTGTATAAATTGGAGCAATCTTTTTGAAAAGCAATTTAGCTGTATAAATAGAGAAGCTTGAATGTTCATTTCCTTTTATGATGCAGTAAATCTACTTTTAGGAATTCTTATTAAAGAATTCATCCTAACTTTGAAAAAAAAAAAAAAAAAGTGTGGCACCAAAAGGTTCATCAAAATTTTGAGTATTGTGAAAAATTGCTACAACTTAAATTTTACTTCTTCAAGGAATAGTCAAGTAAACTGATAAAAACGCTACATGAAATCTAAAGCCATTAAAATGTATTAATGTAGATAAGTGTGTGTTATAGAAACATGAAAAAAGGATATTAATGTAATATGATTAAAACAATCTTAATAAAAAATCTACACCTAGAAAAGCAACTTGAAGGAAATATCAAGATCTAAGAGCATCTATATTTAAGAGCTGGCACTAGGGGAGATTTTTACTTGTTTTCTTTGAACTTTTGTTTTCTAAATTTTTTGTAATGGGCATATACTAGTTTAAAGAGAGAGAACAAAAACATCTTTAAAAAAAAACTAACTTTTTAATATTTTGGTTTGTTGGTTTTTAAGTAAACACTTCTTCTTTTGCTTCTGAAAAGAGAGACAATAGGTTTTTTGTATTTATTTAATTTTTAAAATTTTGTGCTCCTTACAGTAAATGTAGTTTTTTCTTTTTCATCACTTACCTGATTTATACAGGTCACCAGTACCAGTTGCCATGGAGTCAGTTCTAACTCAAGCCGACCCCATATGTGTCACAGTGGAACTGTGCTCCATAGGGTTTTCAGTGGTTAGTTTTTTGGAAGTAGATTGCCAGGCCTTTCTTCTGAGGTGCCTTTCAGACCTTCAGCCTTTCTGATAGCAGCCAAGCACGTTAACCATTTGCATCACTCTGGGACTTCGTCCAGGTCACAGTGAATTTTAAGTCCGTGTTTCACTGTTAACAGCTTTGTCTTTTCTAATGTTACCTTGTTATTGTTAATGTAGTGTCCAGTTTAGACTCGATGGTCTTGCCTGTCCACATAGTCACTTTATGCAGGTTTTTTAATAACAGAATCTGTTATTCTATTTTTCATAGCCTTTACCCATTAATGAAGCTAACGGAAGAATACTTTCCTATAATGTATCCTGTTCATCAGATGAGGAAACACAGTCCCTTTCTGAGATTCCTGATCGCCAGCACAAAGCAGAAATACAACTTGATAAAAACGATTACATCATCAGTGTGGTGGCAAAAAATTCTGTTGGCTCATCTCCACCTTCAAAGATAGCTAGTATGGAAATTCCAAATGGTGAGTATTTAAGATAATTTACCA